TAGTATATATATATATATATATATATATATATATATATATATATATATATATATATATATATATATATATATATATATATATATATATATATATATATATATATATATATATATATGCATATATATGCATAAATGAGAATTGTTATTGCATGAAATCCACCGCCGGTAGGCCCCTGTCACGCGTACGAGATACATCTCACTCATAAAGACACAAGCATGCGTGGATGCTACCTACCTAATACTTGTACTATCGAAGTCACCACTTTTTACGTATACAGATACAACATACATCACCCATCACTCAAACAGTTAACGTCTACGCGTACATAATCTACCACTTGCACGTACATAATCATCACTCAATCGGTAAACTTTTACGTATACATACCATACCACTTACACTGACATTTCCATCACGCAACCGGTATACGTTTACGTGTACGTAACCTGCCACTTGCACTTACATACTCATCACTCATTCGGTAAACGTTTACGTATACATTCCATACCACTTGCACTGACATACCCATCACTCAACCGCTATACGTTTACGTGTACATAACCTGCCACTTGCACTTACATACTCATCACTTCTTACGCCTGCAGAGGTGTCCGGGGTGGCGTTCGAGAACTACCCGATGACGGTGATTCTCCCGCCAAAAGCGGAAAATGTCCAAATTACCCTATTAGGCAAGCCCATGGAGCCCGGAAAACTGACGATCGAGGGCATCCGGGTCCATTGTTTCGGTGTGAGGTGCATACACGCGTTACCTGCGTCTGTGGAGGTGATCGAGGTTTTGCCCCGATATCCGCAATTGGTGGCCAAACACGGCATTCTGGACAAAATCAGAGTGCCCATGGATCTGCTGGAGGGAGAGCTGCTTAAGGTGTGTGGGTACTTTGTGCAAGACTCGCATGCTTGTGGGTGTATGTGTGTGCATGTGTATGTGTACGTGTTGGGGGAGATTGTCAGTATGTGCACGCAGACATGCCTTGTTTCACGCTGATACGTAGGTGCGTCTATTTATAGCCTCGTACATCACTGTCTGCTGTGCACGAGTGTGTGCTTTAATCGAGTTGCACGAAAGTTATATAAATAAATATATATACATTGTATATATATATATATATATACTAAAAGAGTCCATTGGTTAGATTAAATTCTCCAGCACAACATTCAAATACGCGTATGTATGTTTTACGTATTACCTAGTATAGTTTACGTATCATCTTTTGGTCCCAAGTGTTGGCGGGTTTGGTCGACATACTGACACATGAACTATTTTTTGTTTACCTATTGGAAGGGCGTTTATCTCTCACACGCTCACTAAAGTCTCATTCCGTTTTTGCATCTTTTAAAATCAATTTATCTGTTCTTTTCTTATACAGGCCGAGTTGCGGTTAGAGAATGTGGGGAAAGATCTCATTGACTGGGTTATGGTTACTACAGTACCTATACGAAGTGCGCCTGATGCCAAGAGTATAGTACAGGTAAGTACCTGTCATCAATGTGGCATGTGTACGTGTGTGTGTGTTTGTAAGAGAGATAGGCATTAGGAAAAAGGGTACAAGATGCGTGTATACAATATATATATAAAATATATATACGTGTATGTATATATATATATATATATAAATATACATACGTGTATGTATATATATATATATATATATATAT